CCCCAAAACCCCAAAACCCCAAAACCCCAAAACCCCAAAACCCCAAAACCCCATTTAGAACAATTTTTAATACTTTTAAAATATTCAAATGGAGAATTACGCTGAGGAAGTTCTTCCTGTAACAGCTGCTTTACCTGAAATGAAAAGAGGCATGAGTGAGAGGAAAGTCAGAAATCTGACACATAAGTTCACCCTTGGTAAGCCATAGAGTTTATATGTGTAGAAGAGTCCAAACAAAGCATAACTTCGATCAAGTTTGATCCAGGCAATAAGTATATGGCAGCAGGCCTTTGTGATGGAAGTATTGAAATCTACAACCTGTTTACTGGAGAATTATCTTATGAGCTTAACAAACCAGACGAGCAGGATATGTTTTCAACCTTTTTGGAAATCAGATATCCCATAACTTCCATGAGGTGGAGACCACAAAGAGGGTTATCAAAAACTCAAAATATGCTCGTCACTGGAGGAGCTGATGGATATGTAAAATATTGGCATACAACCTCTGGAAAGTTAATCCATTCCTTCAAGGAAGAAGGCAATGGAATTTACTGCATTGATTATAACTATGACGGCACAAGGTTAGTAACTGGAGGGGTAGATAAATAAAATCAGACTCTATGATGACGCCGCCAAGGATATTATTCACACATTCCAAGACAACAGTGAAGACTATCTGGCTCATTACAACAGGATTTTCTGAGTCAAATTTGATCCAATCGATGACAGATTGATCTATTCAGGGGGATGGGATAATATGATTAATGTGAATGACACAAGAGAGAAAGGCCCTGTCTCTCAAATTATAGGCCCTTACCTCTCTGGTGATACTCTTGATGTCTACAAAACCCAGCTTCTGGTTGGAAACTACAACACAGAAAATCCTCTAGAGGTTTATGATCTAAGGAAACTAGAGAGACTCAAGTCAATCGAGTGGAAAACAGAGGAAGGCAAAGAAGGAGGAAAAGTTTTAGGAGCAATGTTTAGTAAGTCAGATGCTGATGCAATCATTGCATGTGGCAGTGTCGGAAACGAATTCAAAATTTTTGATTCGAGTACAGAAAATGTAATCGCTTCAGTGACTGGAGGAAAGAAACCTATCTACTCCATTGATGTGTCCGAGTCCAACTCGTTGATTGCCTTCGGTACATCAGATTGATTGATAAATGTGCTAGAATATAACAATTAGTTCAGATCCAAGTGATTTCATCAAATTATTTCCAATAAAGGAAACTCAAAATGGGGTTTTGGGGTTTTGGGGTTTTGGGGTTTTGGGGTTTTGGGG